GAGTGCAACTCGTTTCAGCAAATATCAATGTTACGGTGTACAATTTTTTTAATGAGCATCTCTTGTCATGGCGTTCAAATACTTTCGTTGCTGGTTGTATGTAAATGAACGTAAGCTTTTCCCATTACAATAGATGTATTTCTGTCACTTTCCTCCACATTCAATGTTTCTTCCTCTTGCATCTTACAGCAACGTGCCGCTGAACGAGCACACTGTTAAAGTCTTTCCTTCGTCGTGTGCGTTACGTAATTCGCGTCAAGCAGAAAGAAGACGACAGATTCTGATGTAGAGAATGAGACCGTCGGATCAACTGCTTTAATAATGGACAGTGTTTCCACAGCTTTGTCCCGTCAATTCGAATACATAACCCTTTCCTGACGGTAACGCTCGGAACGCGCTGCCGGATTCGCTCGGTCCCCGCGTTACCGTTTGATTCGATCCCGTGCACGGTTTACGACGAGCCAGGGAAATGGAATCAATGCGCAACGATAAACGGGATCCCTTTGTCTTTGATTTACTTAGACAGTCCGATCAGGCACAGCTTACCGCACACGGGCGAAGTGTACCGACTTTTCGTGCTCGCGCGGTTTCACGATTTAAATAATTCACCCTTGGCATTCAAAAGCTTTTCACTACAAATATTCAACACTTTCTGACGGGACATAGACGATATTGCTTTAATCTAACTAACGAGAAAACATACGTGAATTAAGAAACAAAGCTATTTTGTACGAACACTTATTGATGTGTTATACGAAACTTAATCCTCTATGGACCGAATATTCTTTCGTGACTATAACAAAATCCATGAGGTGTGAAATCAATAAGTGTTAAGCTATGAATACAAATTAACAATGTATTCAAGGGTCTTAAGAATTTAATTAAAACGAATATATTTTGTAATTTAGAAGTAACAATGACGTTGAACTTTTACGGCTGCGTTGATTAATTATTTACTTTGATTCGTCGTTTTGCTGTGAAAAATTAAATAAATCTGTTTCACCCAGTATATTGTGATTTCAAAGTCACACGGGCTTATGGAGCGTTAATATTATATATAAGACTTTGTAATTTTGTTATATCGAATCAAGTGGTGACTGAGAGTCACCTCTGGAGGGAAAAGGGTTAACACTAGGTTTACAGACATTTATTGTACAGTTTATTCTATTGGTGTTTATTCTATTTGTGTTATTGCATCAATCAAAATAGATAGAAACATTTACTAAATAGCGATTGTAGAATTCGACATGCGTCAGATTGACGCGTCCCGTAAACCTATTAATGTTTAAGCTATTTTTTCGACGACTAGTTTGAACGGTTACCGCGGAATCGAGGGGGCCGAAAGGGATCGAAAACAATTCACGTTGGAAAATTTGAGCCTTCGGGGAAGCTACGAATTCCGTTAATTTCTTTCGCCTTTATTAAACTCGTCCTGTTAATTTCTGACTTTTTTCTTATTAGTTTAGAAATTATGGGAGCGCTACGTTTTAATTTTATCGCGGAGGAATTACTTTAATGCGCTTTCGTTCGTTCTGTTCGTTGTTCTTTTTGGTTGTTCTTTTTTTCGTGGCTTGCTTGATTCCTTTCACGTTCACGTAATTGCAGTTCTAAACTACTTTTTTTGATACGTCGTTTTGTGATTTGCTCTGATAAAATTCCGACGGAAGTTTTCTTATTTTTAATTAATTTTTAGCGAAACGTGTATTTCAGGCTTGCTGTGAATACAGGTTTAATTAGTGTAAAATGTGAGTGATGCAGGCAGTTTAATTTCTTTATAATCTTAAAATAATACTTACGGTGTTCAGTGGATCATGTTTATATACATTAAATACAACTTCAAATTTTTATTAGTGGTCCGACTAGAAATGATAAAGCGAGAAATGAAATATAAATGAAAAGAAATGAATGGTTTCAGCGAACTAGAAAAGTAGATGTTCGTTCATGTAGCATAATTTCTTGGAAATTTGAACTTCAACACTATAGAATTAGGATAGGTACGTATAATTGCATCAATTAAAATCGAATGTACGAAATAAAACTGCAGAAACAGTTCTTCTGTAAAAACATTATTATGATCTATTATTATTTTTATTATTATTATGATGTGTTGTTGTTGTTTTTGTTGTTGTTGTTGTTGTTGTTGTTGTTGTTATCATCATCATCATCATCATCATCATCATCATCATCATCATCATTATTATTATTATTATTATTATATCACTTCGACAAAGCAACCATCGAACCTACATGATTCAG